GCCGGGGCATGGAGCTGCTGCGGCGGGAGTGCGGGCAGCACGAGAGCGCGGTGCTGCGCGGCTTCCTGGGCGGCAGCGAGGGGCAGCTCGAGCGGCTGCAGCGCGACGCGCGCACGGCCGAGGTGAGGGCTGCTCCCAGCCGGCCTGGCACCAGCCACGGGCACGCCTGCTCACTCACACCTTGTCCTGCACGGTCCTTGTGCACACCTGGTTACTCATACCTTGTCTTGCATGGTCTTGATGCACACCTGGTCACCCACACCTTGTCTTGCATGGTCCTTGTGCACACCTGGTCACCCCCACCTTGTCCTGCATGGTCCTTGTGCACACCTGGCCATCCACACCTTGCCTTGCACGGTCCTTGTGCACACCTGGTCACTTACACCTTGTCCTGCATGGTCCTTGTGCACACCTGGTCACTCACACTTTGCCTTGCATAGTCCTCGTGCACACCTGGTCACTCACACCTTGCCTTGCATGGTCCTTGTGCACATCTGTTTCTGTCCTGGCTCTGCAAACTCCTCATGCACATCTGGTCACCCACACCTTGCTCTGCACGGCCCTTGTGCACTCCTCCTACCTTCCTTCTCTCTCTCTGTGTGCATTCCTTGTCACCCACACCTTGCTCTGCACGCTCCTTGTGCTCTCCTGCCCTGCTTTGCCCGCTGGTGCTGCCCGCCCTGCCTTGCACTCCTCCTGTGCCGGGCACTGCCCATCCCTGACCACCGCTCCTGTGCCAGGACGCCTACAACACCGTGGTGCGGTATTTCGGCGAGAGCCCCAAGACCACCCCCCCATCTGTCTTCTTCCCGGTCTTTGTCCGCTTCATCCACTCCTACAAGGTGAGGTGGGGCCGGGAGGGGATGCCCTGCAGGCGAGTGACACCATGGTGGGGGGAAAGCTGACACCCCCAACCCGTGCGCCCCGGCAGGACGCGGAGCAGGAAAACGAGACGCGGAAGAAGCAGGAGGAGGTGATGCGGGAGAAGCTGCTGGCACAGGAGGCTAAAAAGCAGGAGAAGGTTAGTGGAGGCAGGCACGGGGTGGGCTGGGGTTAGGGGGGCACAGAGGGGACCCCTGTGTTCCTAACCTGGACCCCCTGTGCCTCCCTCGCAGCGGAACAAGTGGCAGCAGCAGGAGCTGATCGCGGAGCTGCGGCGGCGCCAGGCCAAGGACCACCGGCCCATGTACGAGGGCAAGGATGGCACCATCGAGGACATCATCACCGGTACGGCCCCCCCAGCCCCTGGCCCCCGCCCTGGCCCTGCCAGCCATGGGGGCTGACGTGTCCCTGTCCCCCCGTTCCCTGCCCGTGCCCCCGCAGCGCTGAAGAGCGTCCCCTTCACTGCCCGCACGGCCAAGCGGGGCTCCCGCTTCTTCTGCGACCCGTCCCACCACGACGAGTCCAGCTGTTAAGAGCCCAGGTACCACCTGCATGCCTGGATCCCCCTGGATCCCACCTGGATCCTCCTGGGTTCCCCCCCCCCGGCCCTGCATGCCCCCTTCTGCACGCCCCCTCCCTGCATGTTGTCACCCCAGGGTGTGCCCCCGTCTTCGGATTGGGGCAGGATCTTAATGCAAGGCTGGATCCCAGCACAGGATCCCAACACTGGATCCCATTGCAAGGCTGGATCCCAGCACAGGATCCCAGCACAGAGCTGGATCCCAGCACAGGATCCCAGCACAGGATCCCAGTGCAAGATCCCAGTGCAATGTTGGATCCCAACACAGGATCCTGGTGCAAGGCTGGATCCCAACACAGGATCTCAGCACAGAGCTGGATCCCAGCACAGGATCCCAGTGCAAGATCCCAGTGCAATTTTGGATCCCAACACAGGATCCCAACACAGAGCTGGATCCCAGCACAGGATCCCAGAACAGGATCCCAGTGCAAGGCCAGATCCCAGAACAGGATCCCAAAAGAGCTGGATCCTAGCACTGGATCCCTATGAAATGTTGCTACCCGGCACAGGATTCCAGTCCAGGATCCTGGTGCAAGGCTGGATCCCAGCACAAGATCCCAGCACTGGATCCTCATGTAAGCCTGGGCCTGGCACAGGATCCCAGCACTGGATCTGGAGTAAGGCTGGATTCCAGCACAGATTCTACTGCAGTACTGGATCCCAGAGTGGGGTCTTAGTGCATCACTGGATCCCAGGGCAGGATCCCAGTGCACTGCTGGGTCCCGGGACAAGGTCCCAGTGCATTACTGGGTTCTGGGCAGGATCCCAGGGCAAAACTGGATCCCAAGGCAGGGTCCCAGTGCAAAACTGACTGCCAGGGTATGGTCCCAGTGTCCTGCTGGAGCCCAGAGTGGGGATCCCAGAGCACACTGGGTCCTAGGCCGGTGCCTGGAGGACTCAGCCTGTGGTGCCTGTACTCTGGGGGGGTCACCTGGGCACCCCCTCAGGCCAGGCCAGGTGTCCCTGGCTCTGTCCCTGACTGTTCCTTCCATCCCACAGCCCGAAGGTGGATCTGCCTGTAGCCAAGCAAGGCTAAGGAGCCCGACCGGGGGGCAGGGGAGGACTGGAGCTGTCTCAGTCCCTCCTCACCCCCCTCTGCCCCCTAGGTGCCCAGTGAGGCTCCGTCCTGCCCTGACACCGTGTGGAACGGGGCCAAAATGTCCCCGTGCCACCATCGTCACAGGTGACATCCCTGTGCCCGGGGAGACCCTGCAGCCAGCCCACCCAAGGCAGAGGCCAAATCCATCCGTGGTGGGGCCCCAGCACCAGGAGCTGACCCGTGGGGTGCTCCCTCCCCGTCAGGGTCCCCTTGTCCCCGGGGGGCTCACTGCCTCAGAGCCCCCAGCCCCACTACAGGAACCAGAGGGACCCCTCCACCCCGCGCTCGACACTTTGACCACTGATGTGAACACTAAGTGCCAAAAAAAATAAGGGACCAAAGCCAGGCTGGGGGGGGGTTACCGGGAGAGGGGCAAGATGGTGCCCCCCACCCCAGGACCCCCCTGCCCCTTCCCCCCGCAGTGACTTTTTGTACATGTGAAATATATGGAGTCTTTTACATGGCCAGTGCCTGATTTTGGGGGACGTGGTGGGGGCACAGAGGCAGCCCAGGAAACTGGGGAGCCCCCCCAGGCCAGAGGTTCTGTGTCCGGGGGGGACAGGGAGGGGGCACAGAGATCTGCAGGGACCAGACATTCGGCAGAGCTTTGTAGTGCTGTTATTAAAGCTGTGGGATTAAGGAGAGGGGGACCTGCTCTGGGATAAAAATGGGAGCCCCCCACATCCCCAGCCCCACTCCGGTGTGGGGTGGTCCCAGTTCACCCCCACTTTTGGTGGGTATGGGTGATTTGGAACAGATTGGAGGTTGGGAGGGGCTGCAGGGGGAGCAGGATGAGGTTCCAAAGGGAGTGGAGGGGCAGGATGGGGCCAGGAGGGCAGAAAGGGCTGGAATGTGGCCATGGGGGCGTGAGGGGCTGGGAGGGTGTTGGATGCCACCCCAGCCCCTCAGCAGCGGCACAAGGTCCTGGCCTCCCTCGCTGAGCCCCACCAGGCCAGGGATTAGCCCTGAAACAGGGAATAAAAGTTTCTCCTAATCCTCTTGGGGGGATTACCAGCACTGCCACGCCCGGGTGGGATCTGGCCCAGCCTCAGCCCCCCCCAGCACCGCTGCTGACCTGGGACCTTTAAATCCACCCACACGAACCCCCTGTTCCATCCTGGGGGACCCTTGGAGATGCTGTGGGCAAAGATGCTGCTGTCCAGCCGTGTCCATCTGTCCATCCGTCCATCTGCCAGGCTTAGGCAGGTCCCACCTGCCCTCAGTGACATCCTGAGTCCCCAGTGCTCAGGGCAGGATCCCAGTGCACATCCCGCTGCTTTCCCGAGGGTCACTGGAGACGCTGCAGGCAAGGCCGCTGCTGCCCAGCCATGTCCATCCGTGTTGATCCGTGTCCATCTGTCCGTCTGTCCATCCATCGGGCTCATTGCCCAATCCCTGCACGAGCTCGGTGACATCCACCCCCGCAAGCCCCCGGCACCGTCCCACACCTTCAGAGGTGCTGCAGGACACTGCTGTCCATCCACATCCAGCCGTGCCCGTCCTGTCCATCTGTCCGTCCGCCAGGCTCCAGCCGCTCCCTACGTGCCCTCGGTGCCGCCGTCAGGCTCGGACGGGCGTCGCTCACCCTGGGCGGCGGGCGCTGCCAGGCTCTCGGCCTGCAGGAGCAGGTTGCAGCCGAGGAAGAGGATGGCGAAGGTGACGGCGAGGCAGAGCACCAGGACCACGGCGATCTGGGCAGCCTCGCTCGCCCCCGCATCCTCGCGGGTAGTGTTCATGTCCCCCTCCTCCTCCTCCTCCTCCTCCTCGTCTTCCTCCCGGGAGCGGAGTGTGGCGGTGACAGACGGGAGGGTTTAAGTGATGTCAAGGGCTGTCTTATCCTCCCTCCGCGGCCCCCCTCGTGCTTGCCGGCGCTGGGTGCCCCCCCGGCAAGGGGCAGCAGCTTTGCTCCGCCCTGGAGCCCCTCTGGAGGGGTGCAGGTGCTGCCAGGAAAGGGGAGTCACCCCAGCTCCCTCCCTGGGTGCCTTGGGGGGCAGCTGGGGCTGCCCAGTGTCCATTCTGCCTGTCTCTACTGCAGCCGCTCAGCCCCACAGCACTGGGGTGCAATGGGGACCCCGTGGCTCAGGGGACCCCCAGTTCAGCTCCACAGCACTGCAGTCCCCCAGCTCAGTCCCATGGTGTGAGTGTGCCATGGGGACCCCCAGCTCAGCTCCACTACACTGGGGTCCCCCAGCTCAGCCCCACGGTGCGATTGTGACATGGGGACCCCCAGCTCAGCTCCATGGTGTGAGTGTGCCATGGGGACCCCCAGCTCAGCTCCACTACACTGGGGTCCCCCAGCTCAGCTCCACAACACAGGGGTGCAGTGGGGACCTCCCAGCTCAGCCCCTCGGTTTTGGATGTGATGAGCTCCACCAGCTCAGCCTCAGCATCTGCTTTCCCCACTCCCATGGCCCCCACAGCCAGGATGTGACCAGGCTCCATGTGAAAGCAGAAACATTTTATTTTTGGGGCAGCTCTGGCCCCTCCAGGGACAGGAGTGACACCGGGGGACAGGGGGTGATAAGGGACACGGCCAGCACTGGCTGTGTGGCACCAAGTGTGCTGCAGAGGGGTGGGGTTCAGGTGTCACCCAGATCCCCAGCAAGCTCTGCCAGGCCCCAGCACCACTTGGAGCTGCTGCCACACATGCCCTGAGGACTCACCCCGGTCATCAGCCAGGCTGGAGCCACTGAGCCAGTTCTCCAGGATGGACAAAACCCCACAGCATAAACCAAGGAGCAGCAAGCCCCAAATTACAGGCCAGGCCAAGCCAAGCTCATCCCAGAGGCTTTCTGGAGGTGAAGGAGGAAGATCCAAGCAGAGTCACTGTCCCAAAAGTGCCACGGCCCACGGTGACCCTACCTGGGTGACACCAGCCCTACAGCGCCAGCGTGTCCTTGATGAGCCGGCGCATGGTGGTGGTGACTGAGGTGCCCAGGGAGTCCGTGATCTGGTAGGAGATCTTGTACAGGTAGGGCTGCACGTCCTTCAGGCTGGTGTCGAAGACATTGTCCACCTCGGACTGGGTGGGCATCTTGGGCAGGTACTCGTGGCGGTTCATAACCTCCACAATGTTGATGATCTTCTCGCAGAGCTTCTCGCCCACCTTCTCGCGGCAGATCTGCCGCTCCTGCTCGTTCGCCAGGTTCACCACGTTCACCTTGATGGTCCAGAGCTCCCAGGGAATGCACTCGTCCGAGAAGGGCCACCGTGACTTCTTCTTCTGGTAGAACTCCAGGGAGATCTGCCCCATGCCGTCGGAGCCAGAGCCACGCAGCGCGTCCTGCGGGACAGCACAGGGCTCACGGGGGAACGGGGACTGACCGAGTCCTCCTCGGGCACGTCCCGCTGGGTTTTACAGAACCACAGAATACCCTGAGCTGGAAGAGACCCCCAGGGATCATCCAGGCAAACTCCTTGCCCTGCACAGGACACCCCAACAATCCCACCCTGTGCCGGAGAGCGGTGCCCAAACACTCCATGAGCTCTGGCAGCCTTGGGGCCATGCCCACATCCTGGGGAGCAGTTCCAGTGCCCAAGCACCCTCTGGGGGAAGAACCCTCTCCCAGTATCCTTCTCCTTTCCCTGCCACAGCTCTATCCACTCCTCTGGTCCTGTTACTGTCCCAGGGAGCAGACATCAGAGCTGCCCTAGGGATGAAGCTGATGCGTCTCCTCTCAGTCTCCTCCAGCTGAACAGACCTAATGCCCTCAGCTGCTCCTTTTAATCCACCCACACGAGCCCCCTGCTCCATCCTGGGGCACCCTCGGAGACGTGTGGCTTCCCTTTAATGCCTTTTATGCTCCCATGTCCACCACCCTCCTTACCTTGAACTCCCCGACAGCCTTGCGGAGCGCTCGGTCGAGCTCCTCGGAGGAGACGCGGACGTAGGCGAAGTCGATGAAGTCGCAGTCCACGTCCTGGGTGCCCACGGTGCCAATGGAGTAGGTGCCCTCCTTCTTGTAGTGGAACTTGCCGGTGCTGCGGTGCAGCAGGATGGTGTGGAGCACAGCCAGCATGGCCTCCTCCACCTGCCGCCCCTCCACCGACACCTCCAGCACCTCGGCGCGGCAGTTCATGGCAGGGGTGGCGCCGGAGGGGCCACAGCAGCGGCTGCGAGGGGACAGCAGGGTGGACGGGGGTGTTTGTTGGCTGACAGTCCGGCTTGGTGGTCCAGTGCCCCGCAGAGAGCTGGTGTGGCCCTCCCGGGAATCCACAGCGACCCAGATGTGCTGAGCCGAGTGCCCCACATGCCACAAGCATCCAGGCTCCCCGTAGCCCCACAGAGATGGAGTTGGTTGAAGTCCCTCACACCCCGCAGACACGGGCCCTCACACACCTCGCAGAAGCTCAGGAGACTCCAGGGCTGGGTGGCCCCAAAGGGATCCAGCTGTCCCAGGATGGGCGGGCTCCCTCCCCAAACATCCCGGCCGTGTCCCAGGGCGTGCTCGCCCCGCAGTGTGGTCCCAGCACAGCCCCTCAGCATCGCGCAGAGACCCAGGGGCCCCGAGCCCCCACCAGCCCAGAGAAGCGCCGATGTCCCGACCCGCTCCCCTCACACCCCAGCCGGGAGTCCTGCGACGGGCTCTGCAACACCCCAAATGTCCCCTCAGGGATCCAACACCCCGGAGGGACCCGGGTGTCCCGGTACGGGCCCACCCTCACCTCACAGGAGCCCGGGGGGTCCCGGCTGGGCCCCCCGAAAACACCAACACAGGTCCGGACGTCCCGGCCCGAGCCCACCTCAGCCTCCCACGGAGCGCCTCAGGTTCCCTGGAGGCTCGAGGCCCCGGACCCGCCTCGGTGCCCTCAGCCCCGGTCCCGAGCCCGGCCCGGTCCGCACTCACCGCCCGGTCCCGACCATCTGACGGCAGGGCGGAGGGAAGTGGATCATCCCATCTGCGCGGGGGGGTCAGGGCACACCACTGCCCACCGTAGCGGCCCCTCCGGTCATTAACGCCGCGTTTCATCTCTCTGAACTCCATTCTGTTAACTTGATTTCGCCCCTTCCGTGCCCTTCCCGGCCGCGGGGTGCCGCCGGGGGCGGAATCGCCGTTCCGAGTCCGCCCATTCCCCTCTCCCCGTTTTGGTTCGTTCCAGGGGGGCCATAGAGCTGCAATCCCGCAGCCCAGAGCGGCTCAGCGGCTCCGTGGCGCCCCCGGTGCTGGCGGCTCCGCGCGGTACTGCAGCGGGGCGGGCGGGCCGGTGTCCCCCGCTGACCCCTGCGGGGACAGCGGCGGGACACGCGTGGGGACACCGGGCACAGGGGCACGGACCGGGCTCGTGGGGACCACAGACGCGCGGGGGACACCTGGATATGAAGGGACACAAGGATATGGGACAGCAGGACCGTGGGGGAATAAAGAAGTGGGGGAGGGGGGGGCACAGGGACAGATGGACACAAGGGACAGCGTGACACAGGGATATGGGGACACGGGGGGAATACTGGATAAAGGGACATGAAGGGGGACAAAGGGACAGTGGGACGGCTGGATATGGGGACAGGGATAGACATGGGGACACAGGGCACGGGATGTAGTGGAAGCAGGGACGTGGGGACCTGGGGGGACACAGGAAGAGGGGATGGATGGACATGGGGACACAGGGAACGGGGACACGGGGATCTGGGGCACTGATCGGCCGCGCTGCCGTGGGGACACATGGCTTGGTGTCAGTCGCAGCAGGAATGTGGCCGTGGGAGCCGGGCACACCCCGACACAGCCGCATCCGTGCCCAGCAGCCCCGGGACCGGCGGCGTGGCCGGAGCTCTCCCCGGAGCTGCTTTTACTCGGCTCTGCTGGTACCGTCCCCGTCCCCGTGCCGAGGAGGGAACGGGGACAGCGATGGTGGCCGAGGGCAGCCCTGAGTTGTAGGAGGGGACAGAGCAGAGCCGTGCCGAGCCGTGCCGGCTGCCAACCCCGTGCCCACCGCGCCCGCTGTGCGCAGCTCCGCCGTTCCCCGCCCCGACTCCCGTCCGCGGCCCCACCGTGCGTCAGCGCTGTCCCCGCGGCGGGGGCGGCGGCGGGGGGGACAGAGGGACCCTTGTTGTGTGTCGCCCCCGGCCCCGCGCCTCAATGTGGCCCTTGTTCCGCACCGTCCCGGGTGTCCCCGGTAACGTCTGCTCCGGGGCCAGGCTGTGCCCGGCAGGAGGAAGGCGACAAGCCGGGGGACAACGCACCACTCGCCTGCCTCGGAAGCCCGCGGCTCTGTCCCCAGCTCGGGAGCGCAAACACCACCACCCCCCCGCCAGGGCAATGGCCACGTCCCCAGGAACACGAGCGGGGGACACGGTCACGCTTCCCGGTTATTTTGGGGAGGATAAATCAGGCGGGCGACAGGTGCGGGGCCGCGGCAGCCGGGGGTGAGTGACGGTTCAAGGGCAGCGGCGTGGGCAACGTGCGGCTCCGGCGTCCCGGCTGTCCCCGGCGCCGGAGCCCCGGCTGTCCCCGGCTCCGGTGTCCCGGCTGTCCCGGGCGTTGGCATCCCGGCTGTCGCCGGCACCGGAGCCCCGGCTGTCCCGGGCGTTGGCATCCCGGCTGTCGCCGGCGTTGGCATCCCGGCTGTCGCCGGCTCCGGTGCCCCAGCTGTCCCCACGTCCACCGGCCCGGCTGTCCCCAGCTCCAGCATCCCGGCTCCGGAGCTCCAGCTGTCCCCAGCTCCATCGCCCCGGCTGTCCCAGCTCCAGCGTCTTGTTTTTTTCCAGCCCAAGTGTCCCAGCTTCCCCCAGCTCTGACATCTCCACTGTCCCGAGCCCCGGCTGTCACCAGCTCCGGTCCCCAGCTCTAACTGTCCCCAGTCCGGCTGTCCCCAGCTCCCGTGTCCTGTTTGCTCCCTCCGGCTCTCCCCCTCCGCGGTGTTCTGGCTGCCCCCAGCTCCAGAATCCCGTTTTTCCCCGTCTCCATCCTTCCAGCTGTCCCCAGCCCCGCTGCTCTGTCCCCCCTTCCCAATCCCCAAATATTCACTAAAGGGGAACACAAGGGACAAAGCTCCCGCCCAGTGCCTCTCACTGTACGTACAAGTTTATATACAGAAAACGGCCAAAAAGGGGGAAACCCAGAAAAATATATATAAAGGGGAAGGGGCCGAGGTTGAGGGGGCCGGAGCCACCCCCCGCCCGCGCCCCCCACTCTGTACAGGACCCAGCCGGCGCTATTTACATCAGGGGCGTTTTTACAGGGGAAGGGGGCACCGCGCCGGCGATGCCCCCGGGGAAAGACGACGCCAGGGCTGCTGCGAGGCTGCACCCTGGGCCGTGAAGGCACATGGGGCACCCCCAAGGGTGCCCCCAAGAAGACTCAGGCATCTGAGGAGGGACCCAGATATCCTGGGAGTGATCCAGAGGGGAACCCAGGCATCCCGGGAGTGATGCAGGGGTGGTCCCAGGCATTCCAGGAGCGAGCCAGGAGTGCCCAGGGGGTCCCAGGCATCCTGTGGATGACCCGGGGGGGGGTTTTCCAGGCATTCTAGGGGTGATCCAGGGGTATACATAAAGGCTTGGGAATGGCCCAGGGGGTCCCAGGTGTCCCAGAGGTCATTCAGGAATCCACAGGGATGTCCCGGGCATCCCAGGACTGATCCAGGAGTGACCAGGGCAGGTTCCAGGCATCCTGGGAGCGATCTAGGGATGCCCAGGTGGTTTCTGGGCATTATGGGGGTCACCCATAGGGTGGGAACATCCCAGGGCTGATCTAGGGTACCCAGGGGATGTTCCAGGCATCCCAGGGGTGACCCAGGGGTGCCCAGGGGGTTCCCGGGCATCCTTGGACTGAACCAGGGTTGCCCAGGGCGGGTCCCAGATGTCCCCAGGCAGGTCAGGAGCTCACGGCAGCCCCTTCCTTGCCTGGGACTCAAAAAGGCAGAGTGTCCATGAAGATCTTGTCAACGATGGGTGGCGGCGGCACCAGATCCTCCAGCTTGAGGTAGAAAATGCGCTGGAGGCCCTGGGTGCAGAGGCTGCGCAGCTCGGGCAGCTTCCCCAGCAGCTTGGAGAGGCAGCTGGAGCGGCCGGGCTCGGCGCCTGCTGCCGCCACGTGGTCCTTGAGGCAGCCCACGATGCGGTTCTGCAGCTCCTCCACCCGCTTGGGCTCCTTCAGGCCGTGCCGGTCTGGGGGGACACACAGGCTGTGGGACCGCGGGGACAGACACCGGCTGCGGGTGGGGATGGGCTGGGCCCGGAGCTGGGTTTGGGTCTCACCTGTGATGATGACGAGGGCGGCGAGGCAGGAGAAGGAGGGGACGTCGACGCTCATGCGGTGCAGGCTCTGGGAGAACTCGAGGATGGCGTCGATCCACTCCCCGAAGCCGCGCACGCACTGCTGCCGGTGCAGCACGACGCCGTTGCAGAAGATGAGTTTCCCTTCCTCCGGCTTGGAGCTGGCAGCACAAAGCCGGGCGTCACCCCTGGGCACGGCTCGGGTTCCCCCTGCTCCGCGCTGCCCCGGGGCTCACCGGTATGCCAGGCGCAGGATGAAGAGCTCCAGGAAGGCCGACTCCAGCAGGAGGTCCTGGTCGTCCTTGGGCAGCTCGGTGAAGCCCTGGATCTTCTCGGCCCACTTGCGGATGACGTCCATGGAGCCGGTGAGCAGGTCATAGAACTGCTGCACATCCACCGAGTCCTCCTTCTCAAACGGGCACGGGGCTGACTCCTGGAACTGGGACAGGATGAGTCAGTAATTGGGTGATGGGTCAGGATTGGGAGAGGATGGGTCAGGATTGGGATGGGGATGGATCAGGAATTGGGATGGGGATGGGTCAGGAATTGGGATGGGATGGGTCAGGAATTGGGATGGTCAGGACCTGGGACAGAGGTGGATCAGGAATTGGGATGGGGGTGGGTCAGGACCTAGGATGGGAACAAGTCAGGAACTGCTGGGCTAACAACAGGGATGAGTTTGAATCAGGAACTGGGACGGGGACAGGATCAGGATTGGGATGGAGACAGGATCAGGATTGGGATGGGGATGGATGAGGAACTGGGATGGGGATGGGTCAGGACCCAGCCCCAGCCCTGGCACGGCCCTGGGCGGGGCATGGAGTGGCACCAGCCCTACCTTGGAGTAGTCGAGCTTGGTGGCACTGGGGATGGAGTCAATGTGTGCCCGCACCAGCGAGGTGATGAGGCTGACCGGGGACGTGTCCGGCGGCTGCTTGGGCTTGGAGGGGAGCCGGCCCCGCCGCCCCTTCAGGCTGTCGGTCCGGACCACTGCGGTTGGAACTTGCAGTGAGTGTGTGCCCTCAGTGCAGCCAGAGAGGCTGCAGAGAGGGGACTCCCCGCTCCTGCTGGGTGCCCCCACCCGGGACGGGACCCTGCTACCTTCTTTGACCATGCCGACGGCCAGGCACTTCTGGAAGCGGCAGAACTGGCAGCGGTTCCTGCGCCGCTTGTCCACAGGGCAGTCCTTGTTGGCCAGGCAGATGTACTTGGCATTCTTCTGCACTGTGCGCTGCGGGTGGGGAAGGAGCGGCCGAGCTCAGCCCGGGGCGCTGAGCTCCGAACAAAAGCCCTTCTGTCCTCCCCTGCCTCCCTCTCCAGCCCAGCATCCGGCTCCGTGTCCGTGGGGAGGGCTCGGCGGCCGTGCTCCCTGCCCTGCCCCTCCCCGGGACACCCCGCAGCATCCTCCTGCCGCCGCAAAGCACTGTGGGAGTATCCCGGCGGCAGCCACGGCCCGGGGGTTCCCCTTACCTTGAAGAAGCCCTTGCAGCCCTCGCAGGTGCGCACGCCGTAGTGCTGGCAGGACGCGTTGTCCCCGCAGACGGCGCAGCGGCCCTCGCCCGCCCCGGGGCTGCGCACCTTGCTGGGCGCCAGCGCCGGCCCCTCCAGCAGCGCCGCGGCGGGGGCCAGGGGCAGCCCCCCGAAACCCCTGGCAGGCCCCTGGGCCGGGGGGAAGGCGT